AGTTTTTTATTTATCTTCGTATAGAAATTCCTTAATAATCGAAGTATTGAAATTGATGCATTAGTGCAAACGCTATTCCCTGAATAGCCTGACATCATGTATTTGTTTTGTTTCTAACGATATTCTGCAAGACGAGAAGAGTAGTTTCACAATGAAACTGATCCAAATGAGTTCATAGTCTTATGAATGCTGTGTATTTTATTAGCTTTAATGTAGGACATTGCCTCGGGAATTGGAACATAAAAATCTGCGGAATCAGAGTAAATTCTATCCATAATCTTGTTAGATATAATGTCATTAATTTATCATTTTATTAAGATATAGTACGTTTGAGCCAAATATCGATTTCGTGATTTTAGGCGTTGTTTGATACGTGTTTTGGATCATTTATATCCTTCATTGCGGTCCCAATCAAATGCGTTTTTGACTCGACCACACAAAACCCAGCAACACAAAGACTTCTTGTGTCGAATCAGCTCGAATGTGATACATGTGAAACATATATACACCTCGAAATCCCTGGTGTTGCTAAATTGTTTACCTTTCACGTAATACGTAGTTTTATAACCATCACATTATGGAAATCTGGTTTATCGAAATATAAACTTTGTTTAGGTTTCTGTATCTACAAACACAACTTGTATACGCATCGTTTCTTCGTATTCATTAACATTTTATATAAAGACGATTTATATAATTCCTTATATTTGTGATTCGAAGAGAGGACAGTTGTTTGGAAAATGCTTCGGCAAGATGGTTACATAAATATTCGGACAAAAACAACTGATGTTAATCTGTCATTTGCATCCACTTTAAAAAGAGTAAGACACAATGTAAACATACAACACATACGTTTAACTACTCATCAAAATCTAAGCTTATCAATAATAACGCTATTGAATTATTATTTTTATATGACAGCAGTGGTCCCAGTTTCAAATATTTGGTCAATAACTGATTTTGACTCGATTATTCCCTGTTATTACACAACTTTGTCACCAAAGTGATGTTTTAGAGCATCCTAGGGATGTACCGCATCGTTGGAAAAGCTAATTTGCCAGATACGCAGTATTCTGCCCTCTTACACTATTGCTACGCAATCGCACAAATGTCATTTTTGAGAAATTTTTCAATTCACTACATCTGAATAAAATTAAAAGCTTAAATTTATTAAATATCAAAGGAAAATAAAGATCTTGATGTATTCGTCTAAATCAATAATCTGTTTTTTATTAGTAGAAATGGAGCTTATTTGCGTATTTGTTAAAATTAAATATGCTATATATAAGCTGTCAAACAAACACAATCCTTATACACTGCAACCATAACAGAATGTCGTCAAGTGTTGACGTCATCAGTCCGGTGATCCAATCAAAAACCACTAAGCTAGACCACCGGTACGACCAGGTCGTGTCCTTTATCTCCAAATATTAGTTATATGTATATATTGTACCGTCCAATAATTGACTTGTTTTATAAATGTTGATAGATCTAAACCCGTGGTTTTAGTTCTTCGCACTAATGAAACAAATAACGCAGATTGCATTTTTTGTCGCGCGCTGAATTAACAAACTGAATTGCCGTTGCTGATTCAGGGGGACATTCTAAAATATTTCACTCAGCATGTTTATCGTAATGTATATAATATGTTCTGTTGGAACTTAAATTGGGAATTGATTCTAAAAGTTCATTTACACGAACATGAATGTAATGAAAAATAAATGCTCTACAGAAATACTCGATATGTGTTGCATCTCATGTGACATAATGTATTTGACAAATGCTTTTTTTATGATTTTGCTAAGTAGGAAATACTTTTAAAGTGAAGAATGAGCAAATTGAACATATATATGAACATATTACAGCTTCAATTGGTTATATCTTTTTTTACATCAGAAGTCACAGTTCAACATTCGATCCATCAATTTGATGTTCCAGTGCTTTGAATGCGAAATATGAAAATAGTATACAACTTATTTGAGCGGTTTTCGCCTTATTCTTCTCAACTCTTCAAGTCAGTTTCCTTTAATCTCCAGAAAATTTCATTACAAAAATATACCTTGATAAACGCAATTTTATTTTTAACACGCCCTGACCCATTTTTCTTCTAACATCATTGTAGACGTCACACGTATATTTTATAAGTCGCAGAGAAAAACAACAAGGGAATAGCGATTTGTACGCAAAACAATCATTTCAACTCAAAGTCGATGAAACAATGGTAATATTAAAAAATAAAACATAAAAAGACTTAATGCAGTGGAAAGGTACGCGTCTTCTGATCATCGACGACATTTAAATCTAGGTCACACCCAAGTGACGTCAAGACATCAAAGTGCAAACGCTGATATAACAAAATATTTAGACGCAATGATAAGATTGATAAAAAAAACGTTAGGCTTTCCTTGAATTTTTGACTATTTTTCGTAGTGAGAACATACGTTAAACTACATTATAACCAAAAAGATTGTATGTATATAGCTGCAAAGGGTGACATTCTGTGACAATAGATGAAGGTTCTCCTTACATAGCAACACCCTTTCCTGTGTATTGTTTTCCAGGCAGATTTACATGTATTTCTGACGAATTTAAACCTTACCGAATACTCAGTTCACTCCGAAAGACGTTGCAGTCGACATGACAGTCTTGCAGACAAGAACAAGAATGTGTCGCGACTGAGTGGAAACCTTTATGTGTAGCACCATTGTAAATATAACTTGTGTCTGCCACGTGAACCTCGGATTTGTAATACAACAACTGCTTATTATATTAATCCTGTTGATGGCACAAAGTGTGAATGTTTGGTAATATGTAAATTATGTCAAGAAGTGTTATTGCAAACTTTAAGTTGTAGGAATTGGTACAGCATTCAATACAAGCCTAAGAATACAAACTCACACCTCAGCCAATGTTTGCCAACTTTGACGACGGATATCTTTTTTTTCCTGTATGACAGCAACATCAGTCATGAATGACAAGTACATACAGATACCATATCCTGATCGATTAGTCATAAACCAACATTGATATTGAGATTAACAAACATATTATTTTATCTTCATAAAGGCAAGAGATAATCGTTGCTATTGTTTAAATACATTGATTCCGATGCAATTTTCGGCTACTTTTCAATATTCACAAGAAGGAGATATTGTACTACAAAGCGAGTCAAGTAATGATGTGATTTCTATTTTTGCTAAAGAGAACATGAATAAGATGCCCAGGTTAAGTTTAAGTTGATTTACATCCTATTTGTATTACATTATCTTACCTTGCGGACAAACAAGTATTGCATTCTGGTTGATGTTTAGCCATTCTTCAATAGAAACAATGGATTAAGTTTCAATGTACGATACCATACTGCATCAAACATCGTGTCTTCGGCAGTATGTGTCAGTGAGGTAGCACTATAAAGTCGGCATCAGTTCCGCGCTATCACAAGGAGACAAACACGAACATATCGCAGCCTCCAAAAATACACACACATACACTACACGCATGCATCCTGCGCACAGGGAAGGCCGTCCTTAAATGACCTTAGCTGTTAATAGGACGTTAAACAAAATCAAACAAACAAACAAAAAACAATTATAACAGTTGTACCAGTACAGAATAGGGTAGATTTTTATAACGTAAACAATCTACATGTACAACAACAAAAATTATGTTTTAAATTAATCAAAGAGAGTTGCTTTAGCTGATTATAACCAGTCACTTTATTAACATATTTGTTTTAGTGACATGTAATTAAACTATCTCATGTACTTACTTAATCCTCAAATCAATATATTGACTCGCGATATCACTATGAAAGCATGATACCAGTTACTAAGATACCTCGCCTCGTTGAATGTGTTTGCAAGCAAATGGGTTTCGCAACATTGCAGACGTGGATTTTTGTCCGTTTGTCAGATCCTATACATCACCCATGTGTCCAAATGGACATGAACTAACCATAGTCTTTGAATAAGTGCGTTCTTGCTTTTATACTTTGTCTAGTGACTATAAGCATACCATCAAAAGCATAAATAAAACAGAAAACTGTTAAGTCATTTTATTCTTAAAGATTAGTAAACGATGATATCAAGACCTTGTTTCTACTCATAATATTTCGAAGTAAACCAAGCTTAAAGATTGTCCCACTGTGTAAGTGAAGAACCCATTATGATAATGGCGATAATGACGGATGTACAATACGATTCAATGCTTGCTTTATTTTTGATTTTATTTTTAAAGTTTTAAGTGTGGTTAGTAAATCTTTTCCTCTACTTTGGTGACCTTTTGTATCACTCAGTTTTTACATTTCAATATTAAATACCAATGTGTGCAATCGACTGTAAGCTTTGGACAACAAAATAATCCCAGAGCATCTATCAAAAAAGTATGACGTCTGATAGATCGAGTTGCTATTCCTTCTATGGGGCTTTGCCTTTGGGGGTTGGTTTTACCTCCACCAAAAAAAAATTAAAAAAAATATAACAACAGATTTGTCTTTGCTTAGTAATAATAAAACGTTGAATAATGATATTGTTTTTGCATTATCTTCCTTAGTATGTTTACGAGTGTATTCCGGTTATAAAACTTCCCATAATACAATGTACGGCTGGAAATGGTCGCCAATGCTATACTTTTGGCTCTGAGAAAGTAAAGCCGAGGTCGGTGAATTTAACAAATGTATGGCAACTTGGTTATTTAGAAGCATTTTGATCTAACGGGAAATGAGTTCGACATTAATCTAATTTACTTTTGAAACCTCATAAGCCGAATCGAGTGATGTATCCGAAAAGAAGATCATAAATGTTGCAAAAATGGTAAACTGCCTATTTCCTCAAACTCAAGTTTTTTTCATATTATTAAATTTAATCTTAAAGTATGTAAGCCTGTTAGAGTTCGATTGCCACGTATTGATTGTATGGCACTTTTTTTTTACTGTGTATTGATAGCCTTACCCTTACCTAAAATAAGCTGCATTGTATAATTATGTTTCAATCAAAACTTACCTGAAATTGTTCCATAGATGCAAGCGATAATTACACACAGCGTCCGTAAATCCATGACCGCCATCCTGCTCTAATCTTACATCAGTTGTCGTCTCACGGTTATCTGTATTAGCCCGACATTTTTAAACAGTTCACACCGGAACTTGAAAGTGTAATTTACACAACGGAAAAAAAGTATAAAGTCAGAGAAGCTAGTGGTTTGGTATAGGGGTATGATTCACGGTTATGTATGGAGGACCGTACACAGCGGGGCCAGGATAACGAAGGTCACAGAGGCTAGAGGTTTAAATGATATCTGTTTTTTGCTGATAGGCTCAATGCACGTGCATCAAAACTGGAGACACTTGCATAGAATATGTATTCACTATTATTTATTTACAGGCTGACCAACTTTTTGATAGTAATTAACCAAATTCATTACTATAGTCCATACCCTATTAGTATAATCACTGATCTACTTATTTATACAATGACTGGCCTACCTTTTCATTCAGTATATATTTATTCGTGCAATCCTTAAACATATCCAGCCATACGTGTTACCATTTAACTAGCCTATTCATTTATCTGATTTATGATCTACTGAATTGTGTAATAATTGACCTAATTATTTTTGGTAATTACTGACCTACTGATTTACAATGGTACTGACATGATTTTTTTGAATATTATATTAATCACTTAATTCAACTATTGACCGACTTATCTACTCATTTACTTAATTACTTGAATGCTGTGAAACCTATTTCGGTATATAAAGTAATTATTCCGCTTAACAGACATAAAAGTACGAGGTTTCACTGGACGATTTTGTGTCGATAAAAGATGAGTTTGTATTCACCTCGTTTATATTCGCCTCATTATAACGTTTTATGCTCCAACTAAGCCTTGTATAAAAGTGTGTTATTATATTGGATCTCATTGGGCTTATTTGCGAACATTTGTCAATGGAAAGGAGTATTCATTTCATTACATCATTGGGAATTACACTCCTGAATTTACTAACATGTGTGAAAGGTCGAATATTGAAAATAGAAACCTTTGTACTTCTTGTCTGATAACAAGCGACATCAACACCATTTATTTCTAATTCTTAACAAAAGTGAAAAACGTATACGCAATAACTTTTTAAACTGTTTTTCAAATAAAATACGTGGCGTATTTATTGCCTCTATGATAAGGAAGTGGAACATGGTTTATTTATGCTACAACTTGTTTATAACAATATAAGATTTAATTAAAATCGTAACATGTAAACATCCTGCAGTAAATTAATGAAAATGTAAGGTTCATTGCTACACTATAAAATCTTAAAACACTACCGATTTCGTTTATTTATTTAGTACCTCAGGTCCTAACTGGCAGAAGCAGTAAATGATGACGTTGTTCTGCTTTCTTTATTTTATTTCCAGTGATAATGTTAAATAAGAAGAAAGCGTCATCACTGGAGTGCTCGTGTTGTGATTGTTATTTCATAGATTTGTCCTTTACCACGTCATTGTTTGTGTATCTACATACTTTCCATCAGATCATTATTGTGTAGTTTCTAAACGTTCTGTTGGGTTTGATGCTGTTTTATTTCCATGTCTCCTCGATTCCTGTTGTTTCATATCGAGTTCCGCTTTGTTCCCTGTTTAATGACGCCATGATAGATTTGTGTGTGTTAAATAAAAATCATAAGGAGTTTCATGTTAGAACGTGTCTTTAACTGCTCGTTTTTTTCTAATAAGAACACAAGAAGTACATACTAAGCACAGTGTCGCTGTTTACATATGTTATTGATGGTGAGACAGTACACAATTCTAAATCAGTGTTAGATCGGTGATGGCCTACCGTTTAGTTGACAAATGCCATGAAGGGTGTCAGGTGTACTGCAGGTAAAGCTGACCCTCGGGGAGATCTGCCCTGCGGTTCGGCAGGTTTTGACTCTTGTGTTTGTTTCTCCTTTGCCTCTGTTATTGTCGTTACGTAAAAACTGCGTTCAGATTGTGTGCTGACATTTCACGTGTAGTTACTTTTTATATTTATTCAACAACATATGTGAATGTTCTGCGTAACTGTTACATCTTTACCACTTTTACATTTAATCTTCTAGGTTTTATAACATGAAAATCCTTCTTTTTTGCACCAAAGTACAACATCTAAAAGTTTATTTCTTTGCAATTTCATTTTACTTGATACAAACATTGTTTATTTTTTAAATATATATGAGGAAGATTGCCTCCATAACGACTGTTAAAATTTCTCTTAAAGTACACTTTTGATTGATAGAAAAATTATTTACAAATAAATGTACAATATTTTTGTCATTATTTTATAAATAGAAATAAACGTTGAATATATATTTGCTTGTCCTTCAAATGAAAATACAAGTCACAGCCGGGTTTTGTTCTGGCTATAACGTCACAAAGTTGTTTTCAAGGATGCAGATCTGTATGTATATACGGTATAAAAGTACTCGGTCATTCCCTGATAAGATAAATTATGCAAAGAATGCTTTGTTTGAATCGAGGAATCTACCTATGTGTATGCACACTGTACAAGCACTGTAATTAATCTTTTGAACTTGTAAAAAGCTAACTTTTTTTTATAGGTTTGAGTTTAGGTATACCACCTGCGTCAACACACAAAACGATACACCGAATCAACGTTTACAGACAACAAGAATTCAGGTAAAAAGTGCAGTGAAAATGGATGTTTTCTTCCATCAAATCCAGAGAAAATAATTGCATCATCGCCATGGAGCGCCAATGTTTTTCTCAAAGTTTGTATACAATTCTGGTCCTCCGTAGTTTCAGCTCTGGTATTTGAAGATTGAAAAGTGGGGTAGGTATCCCATGTTTGCACATTACTGAAACCCTAGGTAGCCAGCTATGGTCCTCCCTCGAAATGAATGCTGGAGGGCGGGGTCATATATCGGGGTCACCGCTTCCCCGGATCAAAATGTCTTTGTACCCGTCCGGTTATCGGGGCTCGTCCCGTGCCTAAATATACTCCTTGATAAAGATGAAATTGATCGTTTCAAGTTTAGTGTAATCTGCTTTTGATAAGGACGTTACGTCCAAACTGTACGCACGGCTTATCGTGTCGTCAAAATCTAGGCACTACAACTAACATATGTCTATAAACTGGTTTATAGAAGGTGTCGATCAAACTGCCGTTAGAGACCCCCCTTGTCAAAACTAGTAATTTATTAAATCCGTCACTCTATGATAAAGATTACCCTTTTCCTTGCCATATTCCCTAGAACTACTTCTGCCGGACCGCATTTAATCAACTGTATTCATGTTTGGTATACAAGGTTTTCTAAATCATCAAACGTCCCTTTTATACATAAAGTTGATCTTGAAGTTAAAGAATAACGTGTATGACTGTGTGTCGCTCGAGAATGTTGTGTCTCCTGTTATGAACCTATGCAACCGTCTATACTACCTTTCCGACAAATCAGTGTAGGTATGAAAGATATTAAAATGAAAACTCTCCCCATTTAACTGACTATGTTATATTTTTCCTATTCACAACATTTTCTTTAGGTTGGTTACCTGTAAGCGTGTGTACAATTTGTTGTTATATATGAAATGACTCGATTCAACTACGCTTTGTTTAATACTTGGTCATAGATGACCGAGAGTATATGGGTTAGCACTGCACTATTGTACATACGCTTACAGCGAAGCCGAATCGACCCCGGTGTGCTTGGACAACGTGCATAGTTTACACCTTTGTGTACCTACGTTTCACTGGTCATTTGTCCGATGAAGATGACAGAGTACAGATTTTCGGTCTTAAGTTCAGACAATATGTCTTTAACATTGATGGTCATGATTTTCTCTTTTGAGTAGTGGTATGGTCCATACTATACCCACTTTACAGGTTATATAATATACACACTTTACAGGTTATATAATATACACACTTTACAGGTTATATAACATACACACTTTACAGGTTAAATAACATACACACTTTACATATTATATAATATACACACTTTACAGATTATATAGGATACACACTTTACAGATTATATAATATACACTCTTTACATATTATATAGTATACACACTTTACAGATTATATAATATACTCACTTTACAGATTATATAATATACACATTGCATTTGGTCATAGATGACCGAGAGAATATGGGTTAGCACTGCACTATTGTACATACGCTTACAGCGAAGCCGAATCGACCCCGGTGTGCTTGGACAACGTGCATAGTTTACACCTTTGTGTACCTACGTTTCACTGGTCATTTGTCCGATGAAGGGGACAGAGTACAGATTTTCGGTCTTAAGTTCAGACAATATGTCTTTAACATTGATGGTCAAGATTTACTCTTTTGAGTAGTGGTATGGTCCATACTATACACACTTTACAGGTTATATAATATACACACTTTACAGATTATATAGGATACACACTTTACAGATTATATAATATACACACTTAACAGATTATATAATATCCACACTTTACAGATTATATAACATACACACTTTACAGATTATATAATATACACTCTTTACATATTATATAGTATACACACTTTACAGATTATATAATATCCACACTTTACAGATTATATAACATACACACTTTACAGATTATATGATATACACACTTTACAGATTATATAATATACTCGCTTTACAGATTATATAGTATACACACTTTACAATTTATATAATATACTCACTTTACAGATTATATAGTATACACACATTACAGATTATATAATTTACTCACTTTACAGATTATATAGTATACACACTTTACAATTTATATAATATACTCACTTTACAGATTATATAATATACACATTGCATTTGGTCATAGATGACCGAGAGAATATGGGTTAGCACTGCACTATTGTACATACGCTTACAGCGAAGCCGAATCGACCCCGGTGTGCTTGGACAACGTGCATAGTTTACACCTTTGTGTACCTACGTTTCACTGGTCATTTGTCCGATGAAGGGGACAGAGTACAGATTTTCGGTCTTAAGTTCAGACAATATGTCTTTAACATTGATGGTCAAGATTTACTCTTTTGAGTAG